CTTTCTTTTTATAGCTTCTGAATATGTTGTATAACAATTTCAGAAGCCGAAACATCTCAATTTTTCTTTTCTGGGCTTAACCGCCTTGACTTCTGAGCGATTCATATAGCAATCTAATACTTACGTTTCACGGTCAGTTTGCAGGAGGTAGTTACGCTGCCGATACTGTTAGTCGCTTGGCAAGCGTATTCGCCCTCGTCTTCGGGGAACACCTCATTGATGACGAGCGTCGCGACTCCTGCTTTGTACTTCAGGTCCATGATACCGGACGAGCTGAGCGTTTTGCCGTTCTTGGTCCAGGTAACTTGCGGCTCTGGGTCGCCGTCAACTTTTACGTTGAGCTCCAGCTGTTCCCCGTCGTTGATGGTGAGGTCGCTCAGCTTCTTCGTGAACTGTGGTGCTCTCATCGAGTCGTCCGGAGGATCTACGAAACCGATGTCAGTTTAATATTAATCATTTGTTTCCATCTTTTTTAAATAGTACTGATATCTAATGTATCGACGAGAATTTTATTCGACAGTGTTCTGGACAAAAACTCAGCATCGTTTCCCTTACAGACTAATTCCTTCGTGGTACTCCTGGATCTAGACGGACTGCCGGACGCGTCCAATCCATATTTCTTGACGCTTCGCTTGTCCGAGCTTGATTCTGTGGCCTGAAGAGAACAAGTTTGAAATGTGATGCAACGTTTGTACATTTCTGAATACAGTATTTTTCGATACAGAGCTGGGGTAAAATTTTAAGATACGGTATTCACGTGGAAAGATGTTGAAATGTTGAGCAGACAAAATGATTACTTGTTGTCTAGAGTAAATAATATTTTACCCAGCTTTGTGCTGACATTTAGTTTTGTCCAATATTTACTTTGTAGGAAGAGGAAGTCGTGGAATTCTGTTTAGTGGTAGAACTATTGTAATTGGTCGACGAACTGCTCGAGTAACCCTGCGTGGTGGTGGAACTATATCCGCTGTATCCGCCGGCCTTGTGGACCGTTATGATCGGTGGTGGCGCCGGTTTGATCGGTTGTTCGATAAATCTTCGATCTAAGAGGAAAGCGACGTTACTTTCAGATAATTATCTTGTCTCACTTTCGGTTTCCGAAACATGAAAGGTTCTATGTCGAATCGCATAAATTGTTTTACATAATCACCGATTCCTTTCAAACCTACGGTATTTGTTGCGTATTTTTAATTTCGATAAAAAATTATAGGGCAAGGGGTTGAAGTATTTTTATTCACAATAGCGATCTTTGTGCATCGAAAAGATTGGAGAACTAGGGAGGGCTGTGCAATGGATTGAAAGACTTGAGACATTTAAAAAGCAGTGGCAGTTTAGTAAGTGCAGATATTGCAACAGCATCGTGGAGTCTAACCAACGGTTATTTTATTCTGTATGTTTCTAAGGATTTGTGCTCTTGGTTTCAGTATTTTAAAAAGCTCACTCTGCAAGGGAATCGTCAAAGAATAGATATTCTTCAAGCTCATGGGGGCGAGTTTGGGGAGAAAGGTGCAACGATTGTATTTGAAATTAAACTTTCATCTTAAGACGTTATCACATGTATTTATAATAATTGAAAGTTTTAATTTATGTTTGGGAAGCAGGTCCGCCTTATCCACCATGCACTGTGGGGCACATTGGCTGGGGTCTACGCGAACTTTGGGGCCTACGGATAGGACAGTTTTTGGAATGATGTCTGTCTGTCCCAAGCGGTACGTCGGAGCGAGGCAGGGTGGTCGAATAAAAGAGTGTTTAGGGCCCACGGAAACCTTAATGCGGCGTTACTGGAAAGAGCATATTCTTAGCATTAAAACGGTTGCAAGCAAATTAGTGGTTTCAACAAAGAGTCATTTCATTCAAGTGAAATGAAGGTATTGAGAACAAAAGGTTGACGAAACGTCCTCGCACGGTTTTTTCAAGTTTTTAACATTTAACGCCTTGCAAACTATTCGGGCTACAAAGTTAAACATTCACAGAACTCAATTTCACAAGATACACAACAAACGCTATAGGTTTGGAAAAATTCTCGATGATTATTTGACAAATTGTATAGGATTCCACGTAGAATGTCCCATGGGCTATGTAATCGTTTGCCAATCAGGTAGTAAATGGTAACTAAGCGCTAATTAGCATGCGCCTAATGGCACGATCTGTAGAGGAAGTTACTGATAAATTGATTGGAAGTAGACGCAAGTTAGTTGGAGATCGGGTCAAGCCACGAATCAAATAAATACGCGAAGGGAGATTATGGGTAACAATACGATTGTTATGCTATAAAAAGTTCTTTAAAATTAAAGGGGATCAGAAACTGCAGGGGGTAGACTCTACCTCCGGAATGTAGGAGGTCGTGCGCTAATTTAACTTGCTCCTCGGTTTCTCCAGTGCCTACAAATAAATGTTCAATGAGTTTCTTCGTGAATATACAAGACATACACTCCGTACTAAACGCATCACGAACTGTAGATTCTTATGCATATATAAACTGAAATTTTCATGATCAAATCTACGATACTCGTAAGAAAATATAAAAACCCTAGAGATTTTTCTAACGGTAACTTTACGGAACACGTCAATTTGACGTATATTGAATTTTATAAACATTATTCGATAAACGTTTACGTCGATTTCGATTACATAAATATGCATTTTAATTGCCTATTTTTAAACCTTTAATTTCTAAGGTCTAAATGAACATCAATTTTTCTAGAACAAAGCAATGGAATGAACTGTACCGATAATAAATGTCCATAAACCTAGCATTCAAAACGATTCTGCACCCAGAACTTCGAGTCATAGATGCATAAGATCTCCAGCGTATCATTTATTCTCTTCTAATTTCACAGAACACGATCTGATTCGAGTTGCCGATCGATTCGCACCTTCGACGATTACGACGCAACTGGTTTCGTCCTTTCCGTGTTTGTTGGTCGCTACGCAGCGGTATTTGCCGCTGTCCTCTGGCTTGCAGTCGATTATTTCCATCGTGACGACACCGTCTGAGTTCGTCATTGCATAGTGATGTTTGGAGAGCTCTTCTCTGTCCTTGTACCATTTCACGGTCGGCGGTGGATTGCCGCTCAGACAGCAGAGCAGCTTGCAGGTCTGCCTAACCTGGATGACACGTGGTCGAAGCAGGAAAGTAAAGCTAGGTGCTGATTCGATCGTCTCCAACCAGACGTTGTAGCCGAGCGGCTCTCTTCTTCGGACAGGGTGCAGTTCTGGTCTGTATTTCGGAATCTCTCTAGGCAGCGCTGGGGACCAAGATTAAAAATCAAGATCGGTGATTGTTTTAGAATCTTCTTCATCTCTGCTAGATTCTTAATTCACATAAGTTGTACCGTGGCTAGTGAAAAAGTATTTGATCAAACGAATTAAAGGAATCATTCATTCATATTGGATCGACGGTAACTAACTTTTCTCTCTAGAAATAATTTGCATTGAATGATTATGATAAAATTTGTAATATAGCAAAAAAATATAGTAAAGATAATCGGAGGGAACTTACGTTGCACATTCAGGAACACAACTTCCTCTCTGTAACCGTAATGATTCTCTGCTCTGATCACATATTCTCCTCTATCCTCGAGTTTCACTCTGTTGATGATGAACGTGTAGTCCTCGCCGTGGTAGCGTTTCATGAACTTCACCGATTGTCGGAGCTCTTGGTTGTTGTGGAACCACGTGAGGGTTGGGTCGGCGATCGCGATCACGCGGCAAGTGAACTTGACGCTTTGGCCTTCGTACGCGAACGCGCTAGTAGGCTTGATGACGAACCTTGGTGCTGCTTGTCGTCGGTCTGTAAATCATTATCATTCTTTATATATCTTTGAAGTAATATTTTAAGTGCCACTATTCCCAACGATGGATCCCGAAGATGGATTGCTGCTTAATGCATTTAATAGAAACGCAAAATTGTCCCTTACCAAAGCAAGAATCATAAATCTTATATTTCTCGACCAGCAACTTTCTAAGGGAAGAGTATTCTGCCAGACGGCCAATAGGAAGTACGTATTTGTCCCAGTTCTCGTATTTGGCTCGCAACCTGTCCCTGAATTTGAGGTATCGACTACTTGAAATGGCTTTGGTGCGGTCGCTGTGGTCACCGGTCAACCATGGATGTAGGAGGCATTCGTGAGCAGTCATACGTTTCCTAGGAAATAAGGAAATTCGTCACTTTCGAATCGAAGATTTTTGTTAAATCCAAAGAAGTTATTGAAACTGAAGGACGTACTCTTTGTTCTTGATGAGGAGCCGCCTGATGAAGTCCTTGCCTTCCTCTGAGACATCGCGGAATGCTTCTTCGTCGAAGTCCCAGTCGCAGGCTTTAACGTTCTTCAGGGTCTCGATGTCGTTGTCTCCAGCGAACGGTGAAAGGCCGCTCAGCCTACAATTGGTATTATTATTAATGTATTCGAGATTGGTAACGCAGTACTACGTCATTTTTAATTTTCTTAGAAGGATATAATCTAAAAAATACATGTTTTAGAAGAACGCGGGTCGCTTATGTCCATGCGACTTCAAAATCTCTAGCTGAGTATTGACAATATAATTATATTGCATGTTTTTTATATTTATGTACATTTGATTAGTAGACTCCTGAGGTGTTCAGCTACAGATTTTAAATTGTAAAGAAATTTTAAGGGAAATTTAAAAATTAAGAAGTTAGGAGAATAAATGTATCATCTAAGAGAATCTAATTGCAAACATAAAGTGCAGAAAAATAATCAAGACAAGCGCTAAAGGAACACTGGTAGCGATAAGAAGATGATTTGCTTACAGAACATAGGCCAAGACACCGCAAGCCCACATGTCCGTGTAGAAACCGACCGGCTCGCGCTCAACGATCTCAGGAGCAGCGAATTCGGCCGTGCCAGTGCTGATCTTGACCACTTCGTTTGGATCCAGCTTCGTGGCCAGTCCAAAATCGATCAACTTCACATTCGTGCTGTTGCGTGTCTGGCACATGATGTTCTCGGGCTTGATGTCTGAAGAATAGGCGAAAAGTCGACGGTTAAATCGGTCAAGTATCAAACGAAGTATGAAACAAAATTAAAGGGGCAACTTACCCAAATGTATGATGTTCTTCTCGTGCATGTGCTTGACGGCTTCGCAGATCTGTCTCATGTAGTTGATCACCTCGGCCTCGGACATGGTGTAACCCTCAGCTGTGATCCTCTCGAAGAGTTCACCGCCGGACAAGCTGAACAGACAAAAGTTCGAGATTACGGATAAAGCGGGATCCACCAAAGTACTTTTATCGATTTCAAAGATTTCAAACGACTTCCCAGCATTAATCCCCCTTAAATACCACTTAAATCCAAATTCCATCGATGATCCGATCTACAATCCACGTACTCACAACTTTGTAAAAGTCCAATAAACAACAGCAAGGTACTCACAACTCGAATATCAGGACCATTTCGTCGTCGTCCTCGAAGGCGTCGTGCAGATTGATCAATTTCGGATGATGTAACTGATTCATAATATCGATCTCCTTCCTGATCAGTTCCTTCTCCATCGCGTGTGACACTGGTATGAATTTAGCAGCGAAGATGTTTCCAGTAGCTCTCTCGCGGCAACGATGGACCACGCCAAACGCGCCGGTGCCGATCTCTTCGAGGATGTCGTATCTGTCGTAGACGGAGAAGTGTTTCACCTCAACCGGCTGAGGCACATACTTGCTGTACACATCGAACACGAACTGGTCGTAGTCGGACGGTTTCTCGTCGCTTCGTCCGCGGATCTTCTTGCCAGACTCGTCCACTTGGTACTCCTTCTGTTTGAACTCCCTCTTGATGATTCCCTTGGTCGTGATCAGCGGCGTCACTTCGCTGGGGTCGGAGCGTCCGTAGATGTTCTCCGCGCACACTCTGAAGTCGTACTGGTGTCCTGGGCTGAGCCCGGTCACCGCCATCGTGCAGAACCTCGTGTTTCCTACACGGATCCAGGTGCTCATCGGGTGTTCGCGTTTCTCGACCAGGTAGTTGGTGATGTTGCTGCCGCCGTCCCAAACTGGAGGCTTCCAGCTGAGTGCCAGAGAATCGTGGCCAACGTTGTCTATCTGAGGGAATCGTGGCGGGTCGGGTCGGTCGCTGATCTGGATCTTGATGATAGCGGTGTCCTGGCCGAGGTCGTTCTCCGCGGTGATGCGGTAGGGGCCGGAGTCTATTCGGCTGCCATCTATGATGGTCAGCACCGCGTGCCTCTCTTTCACTTCTACAGTGTAGTGTCCACCGGATTCGATTACTTCGCCTTCTCTTACCCAGCTGATCTTTGGTTTCGGGTAGCCGGTGAACGGAATCTTGATCACGACGTTCACGCCCTTGTCGAAGAACGCAGTGTCCCTGAACCTTGGTGGCACGTTCAGCTTCGGTGGTGTCTTGATGAACAGCTCGCCCTTGGTCGACTTGACGCCGCACTTGTTCACCGCACGGCAGAAGTACTCGTCCGCGTCCTCGCCGAAGACATCGTGAATTATCAGGTTGTGCACTTCTCCCTCCGAGTAGATGTTGTAGCGCGATCCGCTGACGATCTCCCGGGCGCCCTTGAACCAGGTGATTGTGGGCTTCGGGGTGCCGATGATCTTGCACTGGAAGTGGGCGTTGTGGTTCTGCACGCAGTTCACCTTGTGCAGGGGTTGGATGACTTCGGGCGCCTTTGCTGCTTGCGGGTCGCAGATCTTCACCGATGTGGAGGCCTTCGATTCTGGGCCGAGGCCGGCGGCGTTCTGCGCGAACACGCGGAACTCGTACTGTCTGCCCTCGATCAGGTTCGTGATGTTGATCTGAGTGGGGAGACAGATCGCGACATTCACGCGTTGCCAGGCTTGACTGCCAACTTCGCGTTTGTCGATCCAGTAGCCTTGGATCTTCGAGCCGCCATCGGTTTCTGGTTTCTCCCAGGATAGGTTCACGAAGTCTCCGCCGACTTCTGTCACCTTTGGTGTACCCGGCGGGCCGGGCGGGTCGAACGGCGCCTTGGCCTTGATGGGATTCGCGCCCTCTAATGGTGGTCCCATTCCGTTGTCGTTCACCGCCATCACGCGGAATAGATACTCTTGTCCTTCCGTTAGGCCTTGTACCATGAACGAAGTATCTTTGCAGAAGGACGACACGATTATCCAGTGAGTGTGGCTGACGTCTCGGCGTTCGACCATGTAGTGGGTCACGCGGAGACCGCCGTCGAATTTCGGTGGGTGCCAAGATAACGTGCAAGTGTGCTTGTTGATGTCCGTAACGTCCAGGGGTCCGGTTGGAGGTCCTGGTAGTCCGGTGATGTAGACGTTGAAGGAACCGCTGACGCTGCCGCTGTCGTTCGAGATCGAGAGATCGTAAAGGCCACCGTCGTCTTTCTGGATGTCCTTGATAAAGATGATGAGGTACTCGTCGAATACTGTGTATTTGATGTGCGAGGTTTCGACCACTTGGCGGCCATCCTTCTTCAGAGTGATATCCATCGGCTGGTCGCCGCTGTAATAGATCTTGATCTTCGTGTTGTCGCCTTCGGCCAGGTACAGGTCGTCCGGCATGCGCTCGATGCGAGGTGGAGTGCCGATCTTCAATCTGGCTGTTGTCGTCGCGATACCGAGCGGATTCGAGACCTGGCAGCTGTAGTCGCCAGCGTCTGCGTCCATCACTTCCGATATCACGAGTCTGTAAATGCCATCGAACGCCTCTGTTCGGAACCGGCCACCTACCGTGATTTCTCTGCCGTTTCTCAACCACCTGCGATTGGAATGATTCGTGCGGGAATTATTGAAATTATAGAATTATAGGATTATAGAGTTATGTAACTATAATATTATGAAATTATAGAGAGATCTTAAGCAAAAATGGACATATGTTTTCAAGATTTGTCACCTAACCGACTAGTCTCGTAGCGTATCTTAACATATTCGGGATGAATACAAATTGTACTGAATTACTGAATACATATCCCCTTCACAACTATAGCATAAATATTGAGATCTACAATATTGCTTTGAGATCTACAAAATTGCTTGATGAACTTCAGTATCACCTACCACCTTAGAATCTACAGGCACCTATAGTTCCCATTGATCCCAATAAAAAGAACTTTCTCAAAAATACCAACCTGGCGGTAGGCAAAGGCTTTCCAGTAGCCTCGCACTCGAATACCAGAGTCTTGCCAAGTGGCACGTTCTGGCTGATGGGTAGGGTTCTGACGAATTCCGGTTTCTCGCCACCTTCGACCTCGCATACCTTGACGGGGGTGGTGCAAGAGCTTGGTTCCGATCTGCCCGCGGCGTTGACCGCGAAGATTCGGAACTCGTAATCGCCGCGCTCGATGAGATGCATGACGGTGTATTCGGTGTCGGTGACGTTGTACTCGTTGCACTTGACCCAGAGACTTCCAACCTCTCTCTTCTCGATGATATAGCCGGTGATGCGGCTGCCGCCGTCGGACACCGGTGCTTCCCATTTGAGGTCGACGTAGTTCTTGCCAACCTTGACCACCTGTGGGGTGCCAGGTGGCGATGGCACGTTGAACTTGCTCTTGAGCTTGAACGGCGCTGAAGGTGGACTGGGTTTGCTGAATCCGGCTGCGTTCTTCGCCCGGATCCTGAATTCGTACTCGTGACCGCTGAGCAGGTTGTAACATATGTAAGTGGTGTCCTTGACGAGGTAGTCGTTTGCCACTCTCCATTGGGCGTCGTCCGCGGGATCGCGGAATTCGATCTTGTAACCCTGAAGAGGAATGTAGCATTTAGTTTGACTATTAACCTTTTAGACTTAGTTACCATTTAATTTGATACAGTACAATTATAAAATTTAGTATTGAATGTTAAATGTCTCATGAATAATATTCTGATTGATTTTGTAGAATGAATCACTCTCCTGAACAATTGAAATACATACTTGAACACGGGAACCGCCATCGGAAATCGGCCGAGTCCAAACGACGGTCGCGTTCGATGTGTCCCAGTCGATAACGCGTGGCTGACCAGGTGGATCTGGTACCGTGAACGGGAATTTAGCGGTGATGGGCTCATCCGCCTGCAGCGGGTCCGATATTCCATATTGGTTCTCTGCGCGTACACGGAAGTTGTATTGTTTGTTCGGTTCTAGACCGATAACGTCGTAGTGCGTGTTCCTGACGAAGCTGCACAGTTTCACCCAGAACTGAAATCATTTGCTTCGATTAACACAGGTTCTTCGCTTATAGCTGATCTTAACGTAACTGTACGGTGGAAAATTCTATCAGTCTCAAATCACAGTTCTACATTAATTACGATTTGCGTCAGATCCAACATTAAACATAGTATATAAAGAGAATAAGATATTCTTAACATTCTGTAATGAACAGAAACTTCTTTATCAGTCTTTCCAGAATCAAAGAATAGTTAAGGAGAACTCACGCCAGCCGGATCCAGCTTCTCCACCACGTAATTGGTAACAGGTGAACCGCCATCGTCGAAGGGAGGTTTCCAAGACAGCGTGCAAGTGTCCGGAGTGATGTCGCTGATGTCCAATGGCGCTTGAGGTGGTGATGGCTTGTCTGAAATCAAATATTATATTGCAGGATCGACCAGTGTGAATTTTTATCGTTCATTCTCTAATTGCTAAGGGGCTCACCGACAACGAGGACCTTGCAGGAAGCAGAGTCCGTGCCGACAGTGTTCGTGAGATAAATAGTGTAATTTCCGGTGTCGGATCGTTTGGCCTTCTTGTTGATGAACTGCGAGGCGACGTCCGTGGTATCGAATTTGATTCTGTCTCCAGTGAGAACCTCTTCGCCATTGATGGACCAGCTTGGTCTTGGTTTCGGGTTCGCCGCATAGGGTACCGTGATCGTGAATGGTTCCCCAGCGATCACCGTCATGTCGCGGATGCTCAAATCCGACGTGATCCTCGGTGGGACTGAAAACGATTTAATCATTAGAGTCAGAGTTACTTCCATCGTTTAACCCTTTATGTTCTTACTTCGTACTGCGACTAATCCGTATATTAGACAAAATGATAAAGCAATAAAATCCTTAGTTCTGTGTCAACTACTTGGTGGTTTAGAGTTTTTATACTTTAAATATTAATAAATTTAAAGTACTTTTATCAAAGTGCTACTTTCAGGAGAATCTTATCCAGGATAAAAATGGCAGTAACGTAAGTTAGAACACAAAAGGTTAACCCTCCTATCCTCCTTTTGATATTTACACGGAGGTGCGCTGGCTCTGATCACATCGGAGTTCGAGCTCCATGGTCCACGGCCAGCTGCATTCTCCGCTGCCACACGGAATTCGTAGTCGTGATTCTCGATCAGACCGGTCACTCTATAAGTAGTCTCATGAACGAGGGATGGTGTAGCTTTCGTCCACTTGTCTTCGCTCAGCAGACGCTTCTCGATCACGTAGCCAAGGATCGGTGAGCCTCCATCGTGACGAGGCTTGGTCCAGGTGATGGTGATGCTGTCCTCCGAGGTTTCGACGCCTCTGGGTGTTCCAGGTGCGCCTGGCGGGTCGAATGGATGTCTGGCCTTGATCGGGTCCATCGTTGTCACCGGGTCAGACGTGCCGTATTGATTTTCAGCCATCACTCGGAATTCGTAGGTAGATCCGACTGTTAGATTTCGTACTCGGACGAATGGCGTCGTGATGTAGCTGCTCACCTGATCGTTGCAATCATATAGGAGATTAGGAAGTTAGAAATTTGGTCTTCGAAGATTTTAATGTACATAGTAAATTGATATAAACGGCTGATTATAAAAAAGACAGCAGGAAGTTGACTATGCAAGAAAGACAGTTGAGATGCCTCGACATTCACGTGACGTACCTTAGACCAGGTGCCCTTCGGTTCGCGTTTCTCAAGGACATAGTTGGTGATGTCTGCACCACCGTTGTCTTTCGGTGGGTTCCAGAATAATGTGAGCGCATCTCCGGCGAATTCATCGGCGTGAAGGTTCTCCGGTGGATTCGGCCTGTCGAGGACTTTAACGTTCACGGTGGCGGTGTCGAAGCCGGACGAGTTGCGCAACTGGAGTCTGTACACTCCGCCGTCCGATCGTTTGGAATTCTTTACTACCAAACTGTAAAGAAAAAATGTTAATACTAACTCGGTTAAGAAACGAGCGACAAGAAGTTTGAATTTCGTCTTGATTGCAAAAAGAGTCACACAAAATGTTCATTTCAACTCCATTAGGAGACGAGTAACACACAGAGAATAAATAGATACAAAAATAATGATAATCTTCATTGAATTTGGTTTTAATAAAAGTGTTACGACGCTGCAAATTGCTAACGCTGTTAGCTGAAAAAGCCAAATGTACCTAGCGTAATCATCGCCCAGCTGTTGGTGCACGCGATGGTCGGTTTCGTCTTTAACAACATCGTTGGCGAACCAGGTGGCAGTGGGTTTCGGGAAGCCGATGTAAGGCACGTGAATGGAGAAGTCTTCGCCGGCACGGACGGTGATGTCGCGGACACCGCCTAGATCCATCACCGGCTTGTTCGGCTGTTCCTCGATGACGATCGGGTTGCTCGGCTTGCTCGGGTCGCTGTTGCCGACGTCGTTCACGGCAACCACCCTGAACAAGTACTCCTCGCCCTCGGTCAGTTTCGGCACCGTGTAAACGTTCGTCGGTATCAGTGCACCGTTCACATCGTCCCATTCATCTTGTCCTCTCTTCTTGATCTGGACGATGTATCCTCTGATCTTGGCACCGCCATCGCTGCGCGGAGGACGCCAGCTCAGTGTCACCGAATCCTTTGTAATTCTGTCTGGTTTCGGTGGTTCTGGAGGATCAGGACGCACTGGAAAATTCATTTAATTATAAGATTAGTTAATCTATGCTTCTTTTAACAATGATGGTACATTAGATGCATCTTTTTGTGCCACTCACAGCGCTGGTGTCCAGCAGTGATAGGTTCTGTCGGCTTGCTGGGTTTGCCAGGTCCAGCCTCGTTGACTGCGATAACCCTGAACTCGTACTTTGTTCCTTCGTGAAGATCTTGTACTGTGAATGTTGTGTTCGGGGTTGGATAGTTGTTGACCTTGAGCCATTCACCACCACGCTCGCGTCTCTCTACGTAGTAACCTAGGGAATCATTCAAAAATTGTATTGGCAAATTGGAAAGAAGAGAAAGACGAAAATGGAAAAAATGAAAAACAAATGCAAATGAAAAGAAATAAAAGAAAAAAGAATATCAAGTTTAGTTATAAATTAGAGAAAAAATGAAGTTGTATGACTGATCGCAATTTGGCAATTTGATATAAAGTCTTTCTCACCAGTGATAGGCTTGCCACCAGTGTTAAGCGGTGGATTCCAAAGTAGGCTGCAGCTGTTGGGAGTGTATCCAAGGATCTCTGGCTGGCTGGGAGCATCCGGTGGATCGTACGGGCTTTTCGCGATGACTGGTTTGCCTTCCAGTGGCTCCGACACGCCGTACATGTTCTCGGCTCGGACCCTGAAGACGTACTTCTTGCCTTCGGTAAGTCCTTTGGCAGTGTAGCTGGTTCGCGGACAATATCCGGGTGTCTGTCTCCAGTTGTCTGCCCCGTAGTCTGACACTTCCACGATGTAGTTCGTGATGTCTGATCCTCCATCGTCCAGAGGTTTGTTCCAGGACAGGGACACCGATTCCTGAGTAGTTCCGGTGTACTGGAGTGGGCCTTGAGGCGGTCCAGGCCTATCTACGACAATCACCTCGATGTCCGCTGAGTCTTTACCGTGCTCGTTCGTTGCTGTGATGGTATACAATCCACCATCTTCGCGCACCGATTTCTCGATCAGCAGATTGGTGCGATCGCTCTTGGTTTCGGTCTGGAAATACAGTGATCGTTCATGTTTCATCAACGACAATATTATTTTATTATCAAATTACTATTAAATTATTTGAAATTTACGTTATTACTAAACCATTATTAAATTACTGTTCGATTAATCATTATTTATATTACTATCAAACTATTACCAAGTTACTATTAAAAGATATCTCTATTTCTCACTACTACTTCGATTCTAAGCTCTATGTCTCATAGCTATCAACGAAATATTTAAACGTACGTAAAATGATTTGAAATAATCTTAAATAAAAACTAAATTAATCAAGAATTTCCTTCATACCGAGATTCTGAGGGTCTCCAGAAGAGGCTTTGCATTCTTGGTCCATTCGATGGTGGGCGTGGGCGCGCCGGACAGTGGAATGTTGACGTTGATCGGTTCTCCGGCGCGTACCTTGATCTTGCGTCCAATTAGTGCGTCGAGGTTTAGTTTTGGTTTCTCCTTCATCGGTTTCGCGATGAACACCGAGGACGTGTCGCTGGGTTTGCCGGATCCAGCGGCGTTTATCGCGGTCACCCGGTATTCGTACGCGTGGCCTTCGGTCACGTGGTCGTCGTAGTACTCCGCGTACCTGACGGGTTCTTTGTTCACCTTCAGCCAGCGACCGGTCGCTCTGTCGCGGCGCTCCACATCGTAACCAATGATCTTGGATCCTCCGTTGCTGATCGGCGCGGTCCACTTGATCTTGATGTGGTCTTTGTCCGCGTCGACGCATTCCGGTTTGCCTGGCTGCCCAGGTGCAACTAGATGTACAAAATTTGGCGAATTAGTTAATTAGTTCATTCACGTTATCATTCTGCTTGATTTATTCAGTTTTTTATGTTTTTGTACTAGTGATTGTTTAATACGGCTGATACGCAATCCTTCTAAAGATTGTGACGATACACTCTTTTCGGTATTTTTAAATATTCGTTACACTTATTGCTAGTATTTCAAGTGAAACTATTCAGTTTCAAAATCATTTCAATTATTATTTATACGTAATAATTGAATATTGATAATTTTAATATCATTAATAATTAAGTATTAATAACTTTAATAACTTTAAAAATTAAATACTAATCGTTTTAATAACTTTAATAATAAAATATCAGTTAAATTTTGATCAGTATTATTTAATACTTTTAAAATATCAATGATTGCAAGATATGAGAACTTCCACGGGTACAGTAGATAATTGACCTTAATTAGATGAGTATAGAAAAGGAGATTACCGAATTGGTTCTTGGCGACGATCGAACGGTCTGTCGTCAATGGATCGGAGCGTCCCTGAAGGTTCTCCGCGCACACTCTGAACTCGTACGTGGTACCTTCGAGCAATCTTGGAACTGTGGCATGGTTGAACTTCGGATTGACGTGGGTCACTGCTGGTACCCAACCACCACCGTGGGTCAGGTCGCGTTTCTCAATCACATAACCACTGAAAACGATAACAAAGAGTACCGATCTATACTTAAATATACTTGAAATAGTTGACAGATAGAACCATACCTTTCGATTGTTTCTCATTTTTCATGAATATTTTACAATGAAATTTTGAATATTTTCAATACCAATTTCTATAATTTTTAATATTAATTGTACTAACGTGATTTCGCTACCGCCATTATCCTTTGGCGGCTTCCAGGATAGCGTGACCGATTGACTCGTGATTTCTTCGTACTCCAGAGGAGCTTCTGGTGGTCCTGGTCTGTCGAGAACGATCACCTGGAAGCTACCCTCGTCAACGCCGCTGCTGTTCTTCAGCATCAGATGATACACCCCGGAGTCGGATCTCTTCGCGTTCACTGTGTGAACAATGGTGTGATAACCGATCGAAGTAACGGTCGTTCTGTCGGTGGTCTCTAGATCTCTCCTATCAACTGTCCAAGTGACTTCCGGAGTCGGTTCGCCGACGAAGTCGATGTCGACGTGGAAGATGAGACCAGCCTTAATGCGAATATCTTGCAAAGGTGTCTTGATCTTCGGGGCAACTGAAATGTTTAAAAGTTTTTCGTTAGTGGATCGTTTTGAAATAAATATTATTATTCTATGATAACATTGTATAATATAAATATTATTGAAATAAACATTGTTATTGAGATACTAGTCAAAGAATCCTTTGGTGAACTTAGATATTATTAGCAGCTGATGAAAAGTGTAAAACTTAATTTTTGGCGGCATTCAATTAGATGCTTATAAATCTTAAATCATTTCGTGAATTGTTCAATTTGAATTTGTCTAGATTCGTCAACGAAAGTGTGAATTTTTTTTACGATTCTCGGACTGCTGATTGTTATCCTCTTTGTAACTTACGATGGCGAGGCTTGGCAGTGACAAGATCACTGGGCTCAGAAGGTTCCGATTGTCCAGCAGCGTTCACCGCGATTACACGGAACTCGTATTCTTGTCCCTCAGTTAAATCAGGCACGGTGGTGTTCGTCTGATTTGGAGGAACGTGCACCGCGTTAACCCAGTATGGGCTGCCTTTCTCTTTCTTCTGGACGATGTATCCGGTGAGCGGTGATCCGCCATCGTTGGTCGGTTTTGGCCACTGCAAGTCGACATGGTCTCTGTCCCAGTCTGTGATCTGTGGTCTTCCAGGCGCATCGGGTTCATCTGAAATAATATAAATAGTGTAATAATCTTGCAAATAATATAAAAGTGTAATACATCTTTCACTTTTCGTTTTTTTAGTTAACGCATTGACTGTCATAGTGATGGCCGACGCTTCTGAATTGCTTGAAAATAATTGCAATGTTTAAGATGACCGATGTTGATTAAAAATGTTTAACAACGTAAGTCGATAAGAGTGTAACGTAAGGATTGCGATGCCAAGTAATAAATAGGCAGAGTTATCAATTATTTGGCGTTACAATCCTTATATTATATCTTTGCTACGAAGGAACAAGTGTCAAGTAAAACGCTCAAGACAGTTAACGTGATAATCACTTCGGAAAATGAATGAAAGCTCAATTCGGAATGCTCGAAGCTGAAAACTAACCGAACTCGTTCTTGGCAATGATACTCTTAGGCGCCTCGAGCGGGTCGGACTCTCCAATAGTGTTCACCGCCTTCACGCGGAATAGGTATTCCTTGCGATGCGTCAGTCTAGCGACTTCGTGGCTCAATACTGTGCTCATGCCGGCGTCGGACCAAGTGCCGCGCGACAAATCCATTTTCTCGATGACGTAGTGTAGGATAGGGCTGCCGCCGTCGTCCAACGGGTGTCCCCAGGTCAAATGACAGCCTTCCTTGGTGACGTTGCTGATTTCCAATGGTTTCTGTGGCGGCGAAGGCCTGTCGAGGACCGTAACCCTCGCGCTCGCGCTGAATTTACCGTGCTCGTTCTCCAGGACCAAAGTGTATCGACCTGTATCCGAGCGAACGGAGAATTGGATCTCGAAAGTGGTTTCTGTATTGGTGGTGTACATCTCGTGCCGGGAATCGGCCATCAACACGGCTCCGTCCAAGCTCCAGGTGGCTGTTGGCTTTGGTGAAGCTTGGATGGGGATGATGTAGCTGATCTTCTGTCCTGCTCTTACGACCAAGTCGCTGAGGCAGTGAGGATCGAACGACGGAGCGACTGCAATGAGAAACATTATCATTGATTATCCCCATTTTTGAGATAACCCTTTGTATTCGAGAGATGATCTCAGCAGATACTTGGTTTGATATGGTACAATTATAAAGTTGAATATGTAATATTTTATATTTTATAAATAATATTCAATATCAAATAATAAGTATTAATATTCAATACTAAATTCTCTGTAACGACCGCTACGTAAAATAAAGAAACAAAGCAGTTCCTTTCCCCAATGTGCACGTGAACTACCGTATTTCAAGAAGCATCCTGTACATCTCATTAGAAACTACTGCAAATGATTAAACCCCATATTACTTAGATTCAACGGAGATTAAGAAAACAAATTCTACTCACGGAATCGTGGTTTGGCAACAATCGGCGAAGAGGCCTCCGAGGGTTCGCCCGGTCCAGCCTTGTTCACCGCGATCACTCTGAACTCGTACTCTTGTCCCTCGACCAAATCCGGTACCCTGCCGCTGGTCTTACCGCCTTCAATCTCCGCGGCCTTCTCCCAGGATCCGAATCTCGGCCGTTTCTCAATAATGTATCCTGTGATCGGTGATCCACCGTCCTTCTTAGGCGGTGCCCATTCCAAGTCCACGTGGTCCTTGTCCCAGTCGGTAGCTACAGGCGCGCCAGGTTTGTCCGGCTTGTCATACGGGTCTTTAGCAGTGATAGTGTCCATGCCTAATAGCGGAGCCGATTCTCCTTGCTTGTTCACTGCACGCACTCGGAACTGATAGTCGTGTCCCTCAATCAGATGATCCACGTGGGCCGAAGTGCCGGTTGCTTCCGCGACTGGCACCCATCGCATGTTCTCCGTGTCCATTTTCTCGACCTGGTAATACTGGATCTCCGAGCCGCCGTCGTCTTTCGGCGGTCGCCATCTTAAGTTGCAGCCGTTTTTGGTTACGTTGTCGATCTTCAGAGGTCCTTCCGGTGGCGCCGGCACGTCCAACACGTTCACTGTTAGCGTCGCTGAGTCCCTGCCGTTGATGTTCTTAGCTTCCAGGGTGTATACGCCGGAGTCGGAGCGTCTTGCTTCCATAACGCGGACCTTTGTGTTGTAGTCCTCGTTCACGATCTTGATGCGCTCGTCCGCAATCACCGGCGTCCCCTTCAGCGTCCATGTCTTCGTTGGAGGCGGTTCGCCGATCACCGGAACATCGAAGTCGTAGAAACCGCCTGCCTTCACTTTCACGTCCAGCATGTACTTCCTGTCGATCCTTGGTGGAACTGTGGGAAGAGTTTGTGGGATTAGTTGAGGTTAGTATTAGGTTTCTTTTTGTGGAGCCAAGGGTAATATTTAGAGGACAGTGACAGGGTAGATCGAGGCGAATCGGATCGAGATATGAAACCATGTTTCTTGTACTTCAAATTAGAGAAGACGATCTGAATCACCGCGGTCTACTTTATATGAACTGTTTATTTTCTAAAATAAATTCCACGATATGAAAAGTGAAGAAATTTGATCAAATTAGGTACAGCAAAGATTGATTAAGAATTTTAGAACTTTAAAGTTCTAAAAACATCAAAATTTGTAGAATTTTAGAATTAAAAAATTTTAGAATATTGAGAAAGTGATTTTCTAAGCTACTTACGGTTCTTAGGTCGTGCCAGATGCGATTTTGAGGCGTCCGACGGTTCACCGGGACCAGCTTTGTTGACAGCCCTGACACGGAACTCGTAGTGAGTACCTTCGACGAGATCGTTCACTTTTCCGCGATTCACGTCGCCCTCAACTTCAGCACACTTCTCCCAGGTCGGGCTGTACTTGTCTCGTTTCTCTATTATATAGCCAGTAATGGGAGATCCACCGTCTTCTTGTGGACGATCCCATTGCAGCTCCACGAAGTCTGAATCGTAATCGCTGACAGTCGGAACACCGGGTTTTCCTGGCTCGTCTGCGAATGTTAACAAACATCACAGATGAATTCCCAATTCATAACTTTTACATTAAAATTTGAATATAATAATTAAAACTACATAGAAATAAGAAAAACAATCTTTGCGACAGGGTGTTTCAATTGCACAAATTTGTCTTCTAACCAGAAGCGTTTTACTATCTGCTTCATAACCCATACTTGTTTTTGGATATAAGAAGGGTTATTGCAAATGAGAAGGTATGTAACTCAATTGTTGTCTGTATTGTCTGTAGCTGCTATTGTTCTAATAGTAGTAGCCTTTAGTATAATTTCTAGTCACAGTCGCGAATAGTTTCTAATACAGTTTCCCATATCTCGTACACATTTATCCTGCAGCCTCCTACTCAATTGCATCTTTACAATCTTAACAAACGATGCCATGAAAGGCGAAGTTCAATCTCTCACCGAAAGGATTCTTCGCCTCGATGGTCTGCATGCAAGCAAGTGGTTCGGATTTGCCATGTTTGTTAACTGCCTTGACCCTGAACTTGTACTTGTGTCCAGGTGTGAGTCCTTCGACCTGCAACGTGGTCTCCGGTCCGTCCGTCTCTCCCGCAGGTACCCAGCGACCGGTAGTCTCGTCCATCTTCTCGACGATATATTTCTCGACCGGCTGACCGCCGTCGTCTTCCGGAGGTTTCCAATTTAGCTTGCATCCTTCCGCGTGAACGTCGGACACTCTGAGCGGTCCTTGAGGCGGGCTGGGTCTGTCCAACACGGTAACCTTCACGACAGCCTCGTCTGTGCCGTTTATGTTTTCGGCGATGATGGTGTATTTGCCGGAGTCTTCCCTGGTCGCCATCCTGACGCTCAAGCTGGTGTTGTAGTCGACGTGCTTCACTTTGATGCGCTCGGTCGGCCTGACCTCTCGCTTGTTCAGCATCCATTTGGTGGTCGGTGGTGGTTCGCCCGTCACCTTCACGTCGAAGCTGAAGTTTTGACCGGCTTTGATTCTGACCTCCACCAGATTGGTGCGGTCGATCTTCGGCGCCTGGTTTCGCGGTTTCGCAATGATCGTTGGCGTCGGATCCGACGGCTCGCCGGGGCCGGCCTTGTTTACCGCTCGCACGCGGAACTCGTACGGCTGACCTTCTATCAGGTCGGGTACCGTGGCGGTCGTCTCGCCGGCGGGCACTTCGACTGCTTTCTCCCATTCGCCGTACTTGTCTTTCTTCTCGATTATGTAGCCAGTGATAGGTGATCCGCCGTCGTTTTCTGGCGGAGTCCAAGCTAGGTCCACGTGATCCTTGTCCCAGTCGGTGGCTCGAACGTCGCCTGGCTTGCCTGGTTCGTCTGGAAATTTTGGAATTGTTTGTAGAAGCTAGTGGCTTGAAAAGTTAGACCTGGTGTGCACCGTACGTGTATCGGGTGTTAGGAGTAGCTTTGAGAAATTTTATATTCGACCAGCTTACCGAACGGATTCTTTGCTAATATAGCTTGCTCCGCTTCCAGAGGTTTGGACTCTCCTTCAGCGTTCACCGCGCTGACGCGGAACAAGTATTCCTTGCCTGGTGTTAATCCGGTTACCTCCAAATCTAAAAGAATGCGAGTGTTTAATCAATATTTCCAGTTCGCTCTTAGGAAGACTGAAAATTCTTATAAGCTTACTAATCGAGTTCTCATGCACTTTACAGGGAGTAATAAACTCTAAGATTGAACAAAACCTAGTACAGTTCTAGAATACTCTGTGAAAATCGTTACTTTCGCTTGAGGTTGTAATCGGAAAGGGAGTTAAAAATGTAGTAGAATATAAGTTTATTTCTATTTTTCCTACATTACCAAATCCTTTGTGTACGAAAATCAGAATTCTCCCGAGCATCCCCTAATTTTGATCAACGACAAGGCAACAAACTTACTCGGCTCGGTAGACCTTCCGCAAGGTACCCAGCATCCAGTCTCCGGGTCCATTTTGTCCACTTGGTAGTACTCGATCGGGGTACCACCGTCGTCTTTCGGTCTCTTCCATTTGAGCTTGCATCCCTCCTTGTGGACGTCTGTGACCTGGAGCGGTCCTTCAGGCGGCATCGGCTTGTCCGTGACCACGACCTGTACGGTGACTGAATCTCTTCCCGACGAATTGGTGGCTGTGACAGTGTAATCGCCGCTGTCGTCGCGCGCCACAGGTCGGATGCTGAATTTGGTGCTGTAGTCCGAGTTGTCGATCTGCACTTTCCTGTCGGAGTGCAGCGGGATCGCGCCGTATCGCCACTCGATGTGTGGCGGCGGCTCGCCGATCACGTTCGCGTCGAACCTCAGCAACGAACCGGCCGACAGCGTGACATCCCGCAGGTTGCGTCGATCGATCTTGGGTGCCACTGAAACCGACAAGATTTATAAGCCACCGATCGACCGATAGGTGCCAAAATTGATTATTTATAAAACTCTTGGTGCGCTTCTATTGTCGGAAGTACCATGAGAGCAATGCGCGATAAATACTGTGTCAGGGATACAACTTGATAATGAAAAAATTGGATCCAAGCCACGATCCGCTGTAACTGGCTTTGTTACATTCGTAGGCTCATTCAGCGCATAGTTTGACTTGTTATTGCGTTACTTTTACTTGTTTTAATTGACTTGCCTGTCGGCACTGGAACTACTGAATGGATCAAAATGATCCATTTCTCTTAAGAGAAATTCTTATAATTTTGGAAAAGATGGCAGATGATTCTATAAGAATCGAATATTTTTATATTTTTATATAATAAATATATATATAATATAATTATAATATAGATTAGATTTAGTAGTCAAACTGAATTACAAATCGATTGCAATCTCAATAGTTGGACTCTTGGAGTTTCTAGAGAAGAATACGAAAAAGTCAGTTTGATTGCTCGATAGTTCGATACGAACGTAATAGTTTCAACATTGTGTACCAATACTACAGTGAAGATTTACGTGCCGAGAAATTAATATAAAATTATTAGATTCGTATTCATATAAAGTTCCTCTACGATGTAAAAGCTAGCGAATAAATCTTCCTAATAGAAACTGTAATAAAAATTCGCTGGGAATACTTACAGAATCGTGGTTTCGCCGTGAACGTCTTGCTGGCGTCTCCAGGTTCCGACTGTCCAGCTTTGTTCACGGCGATCACGCGGAACAGATAATCGTTGCCCTCGATCAGACCGTGCACGAGAGCTTTCGTGGACGGTGTCTCGATTTCCAGAGCCTTCTCCCACATCGTGCTGTATTTGTCTTTCTTCTCGATGATGTACCCAGTGATAGGTGATCCTCCGTCGCTGACCGGTTCCTTCCAAGTGAGTTCCACCTGGTTGGCGGTCCAGTCGACCGGTTCCGGTGCTCCCGGAGGACTTGGGACAGCTAAAGACATTTGTTCGAATAAATATACCGTGCTGGAAGATTCAACGATCAGAGTAATTTGAGCATAGATGGCTCACTATTTTCAAACGAGCTATTAGATCATAAACACCATTGATATCTAATGAAAAGAATGACTACTAGTTAAAAGGAATAAGAATAGTTAAATAGGCCTCTGCGTGAGATACAATATGCCATTAAAGTAATTGAAAATGAAGACAGTGTAAATGAGACCAGGTTGTTTTACTCGCAGAGTCATCTGGAAATTACTTTAAGTTCGATTTACAGACACTTACTAAACGGATCTTTGGCTACGATCGAGCTGAAAGTCTCCAAAGGTTCTGACTCTCCTTCTTTGTTAAGCGCTTTCACTCTGAACTTGTATTCGTGTCCAGGTGTCAGTCCTTCGACCTTCATCTCCGGCCCCGTTGTCTTGCCAACTGGCAACCAGACACCAGTGTCCGGGTCGAACTTCTCCACGAGGTATCCTTCGATCGGCTCGCCGCCGTCGTCCTTCGGCTTCTTCCATTTCAACGTACATCCCTCTTTGTGGATGTCGGACACTTCTAGTGGTCCTTCGGGTTTACCAGGTTTCGCTGCAAATATAATATTATTAATATTTAATAATATTTAACATATTAAGATAATATTTATCATTTTTAATATTTATATAACATTGTAATATCTATAAGATTTCATATCCTCCAGAAGCTAAGCTTTAACACATTAAGATAATATTTATCATTCTTAATATTTATATATCATTGTAATATTCATAAAATTTCATATCTTCTAGCAGCTAAGATGTTACCCAGAAAATTGAACTTACAGACAACGGTCACTTCAACTTCGGCGGTATCGGAACCGTGCTGATTCACCGCGGTGATCTTGTATATACCGCTGTCTTTGCGTTCGGGCTTGTCATTGAAGAACTTGCTGTTGTACGGAACGTTCTGTATACGTCGGAACGTCGTGACTTGAATGCTCTTGTTGTTGATCACCCACGTGACGTCTGGTGGTGGTTCACCGATAATCTTGACGTCGAAGTGGAATCCTTCGTTCTCGCGGACAGTGATGTCGCGCAAGTTCTTGCGGTCGATCTTCGGTGCAACTGCACGTGGAAGAATGACGATAAGTAAATGACAGAATAGAACGAAAACTGTATTGACTCTTTAACCGTCGAATTAAACGAAGGAAACTAAAATATCACTGTATAAAGAAAAACTAATTGAAATCAATCGATTCGTTAGGAGTAGCGTAAAGAGGTCTTACGTCGTCGACTCTTGGCTGTGATCGGTTTGCTGGTGTCCGACGGTTCGCCAGGTCCAGCAGCGTTGATTGCCCTCACGCGGAATTCATATTCAACACCCTCGTCGAGATTGTCGACGCGTCCCTTGCAGTCGGGTCCGGTTTCGAGTGCCTTTATCCAGCGTGGACTGTCCTTTTCGCGCTTTTCAATTATGTATCCGGTGATTGGAGATCCACCATCCTTCAATGGTGGAGTCCATCTTAGGTCTATGTGATCCTTGTCCCAATCGGTTGCCTCTGGGCGGCCCGGTGGTCCTGGTTCATCTGCAACAAACCCGAACATACCAATCAATCACTAATCGCTGCTCCTTAAACACTAGAACTACTGTGCAGTCAAATTAACCTTTCTCATATTTTCCTGTAGGAACCCTAACAGTGAAGCTATTGATACTTTTATTGCCTTATGATTCAGTCTGCATACTAATAAATCAATTTACGTAGTCACTTCTCAGAGAAGCTGAGAATGTTTTTTAACAATCATAAAAGAAGAATCCAGGAATTAAAGTCTAGTTGTTTTACGTCCGATATATACCCAGAGGGTATCCCCGGACGGCCCCAATGGGCGCGGGATTGGGATAACGCCCAATCAGCGAGACTCCGCAAACCGCGAAGACTACCAGTGGCGCCCAAGGCTGTAGGACCTTGAGACAGACAACTGGTGGTGCCGGGTGACTTTCCACACCCTACCCGCTTAGCAGGCCGGTGCGCGAGCTGTTGGGACGCAGCTCCCCCGCCGGGACCCTGGAAAAAGGGGTCCCTAGCCAGCATTTGGCTTTCAACCACTGCCCCCGCGAGTCAAGAATCCAGGAATAAGTTATTTTGAGTCATTCGCTGGTTCTAGCGTTAAACTGTTGCGAAACTTCTCTAATCCTTTCGTAGACTTCTCTAAAGCAGTAGCCCTTAATCCGGATTTCGATCAGCTTACTAAAGCATCAAATTACTCGTTTTCTGTTTCTTTAGAACCAAAACCACTAACAAAGCTTCAACCAGATTAAGAACTAACTTTGAGATCTAACTACTTCCTCCAAAACGAAAAGCTACTAACCGAATGGATTCTTGGCCACGATTCCATGGTCGGTCTCCAACGGTTCCGATTCGCCTTCCGCGTTCACCGCGGCCACTCGGAACTTATACTCTTGGCCAGGCACCAAATTCTCCACGACCATGTTCGGTTCTTTCGTGCGTCCCACCGGTATCCATCTTCCTGTCTCCGTGTCCATTTTCTCGACAACGTAATGATCGAGCGGCGTGCCGCCGTCATCCAGCGGCGGGTTCCATTTCAACGTGCATCCTTCCTTGTGAACATCGGATACCTTCAGCGGACCTTCCGGTTTGCCAGGTCTGTCCAGCACCAAGACCTCGATCGACGCTTCGTCTTTACCAGAGCTGTTCTCTGCCTTCAAAGTGAGCGTTCCGCAGTGAGCTCTGCTAGCTGCCGTTACGATGAACTTCGTCCTGTACTCTTCGAGCTCGATAGTTAGGACTCCGCCGCTTTCCTGCTTGGCTTTGTTCAGGAACCAGGTTTTCGTTGGCGGCGGTTCTCCGGACACCTTCACGTCCAAGCGAATGTGATTGCCAGCTTTGATAGTGATATCTTTCAGGTTAGTACGATCGATCTTCGGCGCCGCGTAACGGTCCTTCGCGATCAAGCTGTCGCTGGCCTCGCTAGGCTTGCTCTGCCCACCCTTGTTCACCGCTCTTACGCGGAATTGGTACTTCTGACCCTCCACCAGGTCCTCGACTCGGCCCTCGGTCTTGTTACCAGGCACCTCGGCGGCCTTCTGCCATTTACCGTATTGATCTTTCTTCTCGATTATGTACTTCTCGATTGGCGCACCACCGTCGTTCTTTGGAGCCTTCCACTTTAGGTCCACGTGGTTCTTGGACCAGTCTTTTAGGTCTGGCTTGCTGGGTGCGTCGGGTTCGGCTGGAATATTTGAAAAATGATATTAAACATATGGCACTCAATAGATAATATATAATAAATGCGTTAAATCTGATAGTAATAGGTATCGGGTTAATCAAAGTTTCTCGGCATTTTTAAGGGAATTTAAATACAAGATTGCTATTGAAATTAGCTTTAATAGAATATTACGCGGGGAAAACATGTTTTGGTATAATACAAACGTTCTTTGAGTATAGTTTGAGGATAATTAAAATAATAAAACGATCAAGATTTTACGTACTGTAAGGATTCTTGGCTGTAGTTGGTATCGCCGTCTCCAAAGGTTCAGACTCTCCCTCGGAATTGACAGCTTTCACGCGGAACATGTAGTCCTTGCCTTCGTTCAGGCCAGTGACATCCGCTTCCGGAGTCTTGCTCGTGGCACAGGGTACCCATCTTCCGGTATCGACGTCCATCCTCTCGATGACATAATGATCGACCGGCTCGCCGCCATCGTCGTCTGGTTTGTCCCATTTCAACTTGCATCCTTCTGCGGTCACATCCGACACTTCCAGAGGTCCTTTTGGTTTGCCAGGTTTGCTTAACACCTGAAGATAATTATTTTCATGAAAATTTGAACGTTGTTTCGTGATGTGTTTTAACATTAGAACTACCAGGAATGTTCACTTTGCAAGTGAAATGTTGTAAAATAAATTTGCGTATTTGTAGAGATACATGAATAATAGACCATTAACATCTCAAGAAATGTATTGTTCTGATTTTTATAAAAAAATTAGAAATATGTCACCTTGATTGCCCGGTAGTTTTAGCGTTAGCAAAGTTGAGATAAGAAATGGGATCATATTTTATATTCCAAATTTCTAACTCTTAAATCATAGTTTGATTTAAGTATTCCACTTATAATACACTTCACCCTGTTCCCAATTAAGATATGCATTTCAAAGTACCTGGAGTTCAACGTCTACTTGATCAGTACCGCTGTCGTTCTTGGCTATGACTGTGTAGGTGCCAGTATCGATCCTTTGCAACTTCGTGATGATGAATGTGGTCTGGTAATCTTCGTTTTCGATCTTGAGACGATCCATGCTCTTTAGCACGGCGTCTTTGAGCTTCCACGTGACTGTTGGAGGCGGTTCACCTTGTATGTTAGCCTCGATGCGTAGCATTTGTCCCACTCGCATGACTTTCTTCTGGAGATTTTTGCGGTCGATTCGTGGAGCCACTGTAAATCCAAAGAATCACTTGTTACTTATTTTAAATTTTTGTGCACTTATGGTTGCGAAAAGTCTTTGGAATTCAATAAATTTAAAATTCCAATGAAACCGAATGTAATATTCTTCTATTTTGTTCCATTGAAATTACCAACCAAGAAAGTGAAGCTCCATTTAATTTCAGTTTCTGTACATAAATCTAATTAGTAATTCTAGAAATAAGTGGGAAACTTACAGAAGCGCGGTTTAGCCACAACGCTCCTCGAAGAGTCACTAGGTTCGCCAGGCCCAGCCCTGTTAACAGCCACCACTCTGAACTCGTATTCGTGGCCCTCTTCAATTCCATCGGTGACTTTGGCAACGTTGCGGTCACCTCCAACCTTTGCGACGTCTATCCACTGTCTTGCTTCCTTGTCTCTCATTTGTATAATATATTTCTCGATAGGAGCACCGCCGTCGTCTTTCGGTGGTGTCCATTCAAGGTCAACGAAGTCCTTGTCCCAGTTCTTAATCTCCGGACGACCGGGTTTGCCAGGTTCATCTGGAAAAAATTCATTTACATTGTAATATTATATTTACTTAATAATTTATTCTATGGCTACTTTTTGATAGACCAGGTAGGTAATTAGGACAAGTATTGAGAATACAGTGAATATCTTGTAAAGGAAGAAAAAGGAACATAAGAAAATGAAGTCAATTAGATAATCGAGTTAAAGAAAAAGATGAAAGACTCACGAGGAAACGAAGTGAATTAGATAATCGAGTTGAAGGAAAAAAATAGAGGGGACGTGATTAAGTGAATGACCCGTACCGAATGGATTCTTAGCGATGATAGATTTCTCCGTTTCGAGTTCGTCGGACTCGCCCTCTTTGTTCACCGCTTTCACGCGGAATTTATATGGTTTGCCCTCTTGAAGTCCGGTCACTGTGGCTTCCGGTTCGGTGGATTTGCCGCACGGAATCCATTGTCCAGTCAGAGGATCCAGTTTCTCGATTTCGTAGTACTCGATCGGAGTGCCACCGTCATCCTCCGGTTTCTCCCATTTCAACTTGCAGCCGTGTTTGTTTACGTCGGACACTTCCAGAGGACCCTGAAGTAGACATATTATTTTCCATTATCATTGTTCAATCAATCGTGAGGAACGAAATTTTGTGAAATTCTGTAAAAACGCACCTTAGGCTGACTCGGTTTACCGAGTACGGTTATTTCCACCTCGGCGGTGTCTTCGCCTACTTCGTTCTTAGCGTTGATCACGTATTTGCCGGTGTGAGCTCTCTTAGCTTTCAGGACAAAGAATTTGGTGTTGTAGTCGATGTTGTCGATACGTATCGTGTCGTCCGACTGGAGCTCTTTGCCTTGGAACGACCAAGTCACTTTTGGAGGCGGTTCACCGATGATGTTCACATCCAGAGTCAACGTCAGACCAACCTTTACAGAGATTGCCTGTAGATTGGTGCGGTCGATGAACGGTTTCACTGTAAAGTTTTCGATGAATTTGAAAATTTGTAATAGGTAGAAATTGTGATGATTATCAATTACAATATGTATCAGTTGCAACAGTTGTCAATTTTAATAGCTATCAATTGCAATAGTTATCAGTTGCAATAGTTACCAATTTTAATAGCTATCAGTTGCAATAGTTATTAATTATAATAGGTATCAATTGCAATAGTTATCAGTCGCAATAGTTATTAGTTGCAATAGCTATCGATTACAATAGCTATCATTTGAAATAGACATCAAGTGCAATAGTTATCAGTTGCAATAGCTATCAATTGTAATAGCTATTACTTGTAATAGACATCAACTGTAATGTTATCAGTTACAATAGCTATAAATTGTAATAGGCATCAATTACAATATTTATCAGTTGCAATAGCTATCAAGTTAAAATATTTATTAATTGCAACAGCTACCACTTCCAATAACTATCAATTCCTATATCCATCAGTTGCAATCGCTATAAATTTGCAGGACACTCACGCCAACGAGCCTTGGCAGTGTGAGGATTCGTAGCTTCGCTAGGTTCGCCAGGACCCGCTTTGTTCACAGCTCGAACTCTGAATTGGTACTGATTTCCTTCTTCCAGTCTCTGTACCGTTCCTGTACAACTAGGCCCTGTTGTCTCGGCAGCCTTCACGAATTGCGTGCCGAATTTATCTTTCATTTCAATAATGTAGCCCGTAATCGGTGCACCACCATCTCTTATAGGTGGTTCCCACTTTAGTTTCACCATATTCTCGGACCAGTCGATGATCTCTGGTAGACCAGGAGCGGCAGGAGCATCTGGAAAATTCCATATCATAGAACAACGAGTCCACAGTAATCAGACGGTGATTAAGAAAATAATCAAATTAAAGGAGTGAAATTTACAATAATCTACAATATAATATTCATTATATAACAATATACATCATACTGTAGCATAGAAAATGGTCTAAAACGTATTTTCTTTACTCTTATATTTTTCCATTAAAGTTCCACTCATTTGTTATCACAACTTCATAAACGTTGCTGCACAATTTTAATTTGTAATCAAAATATTTAAATGCCACGTACCGTAGGGGTTCTTAGCCACGATCGCAGTGTCCGTTTGCAATGGTTCCGATTCTCCCTCTTCGTTAACTGCCTTTACACGGAACTCGTACTTGTGACCAGGCTCTAATCCAGTGATCGCGTGCTCAGTCTTATCAGGATCAATGACACCAGCTGGCACCCATCGACCCGTGGTCACGTCCATCTTCTCGATCACGTAGCTGGACAATGGTAGACCACCGTCGTCTTTTGGTTTGCTCCATTTCAGTTTGCATCCCTCCTTGTGGACATCCAAGACTTCCAGAGGTCCCTCTGGCTTTCCAGGTCTGTCGAGGATGATGATGTCGACGTCGGCCTCGTCCTGACCCGAATCGTTCACCGCTTTGATCGTGTATTTGCCACTCATCTTGCGGCTAGTGTTCGTCAAGTGAATCTTCGTCAAGTAATCCTCGTTATCGATCTTGACGTTGGCTCCGGTCTGCAGAACTTCGCCGCCGAAGTTCCACGTGATCGTTGGAGGCGGTTCACCTTCCACGTCGACCTCCAACTTCACCATCTGACCAGCTCTGACCTTGATCTGTTGCAACTTGTCACGGTTGATGCGTGGTTTCACTGGAAAATTATGTGTAATGCTTATTATCGAGTATATCATGTATAATATATGGAAAATGGACTCTTATGCGTTCGTAGCTTACACTTTTGACTCTTATGTTAGCAATCAGAATGTTTGTGTTTGAGACTACTTCAATACTACAATGGTCTTGCATAAGTTTGCTATTTTAAAAGCACAGAAAGTGAGTAGAAGTTTTCGTAAAATGGAGATTTAAAGAAATTTCGACGAAGTTTCATGAGAATGTAACAAACTGTACAGAAGGAATCATAGAAAAGAGTGTTTGGGTTCTCAGTTGCCAACAGAAGGATTAAGAAAGAATAGAAGCTTCGCGATGAACATTTAATCAATAATAACAGAAATGAATGAATTGGAAAATACTTACAGTATCTTGCCTTAGCGACGTGCGGCTTCGTTGAGTCGCTGGGCTCCGACGGTCCAGCCTTGTTAACCGCGCGGACTCGGAACTGATAGACAGAACCTTTCTTCAGGCCAGTGACACGGCCCTTTGGTTGCGGTGAGTCGGTCACCGTAGCCTCTTGCCACTGGGTGGACGGTTTCTCTTTCATTTCAATAATATAACCAGTGATTGGTGCACCACCAGTATCTTTCGGTGGTTCCCATTTCAAGTCAACGCGATCCACGTCCCAGTCTTCCAATTCTGGTACACCAGGTTTGCTGGTGACGTCTGAAAGAACGTTATGATTATATTAGAATTATATTTGTTATACATTTTTTTCCATAAATATTTCGATTACGATCGATATAATATTTTACCATAAGGATTCTTGGCAAGGGTCGATCCATCGGTGACCAAAGGCTCAGACTCGCCCTCTTCGTTGATGGCCTTCACCCTGAACTCGTATTCGTGACCTTCCTGGAGACCTTTGATGTCCATTTCGGTGTCGGACGTGCGTCCCACTGGTACCCATCTTCCGGTAGCTTTGTCCAGCTTCTCGACTTGGTAGCTGGTAACTGGTTTGCCACCGTCGTCCTCTGGTTTTCCCCATTTCAGCTTGCATCCGTTCTTTGTTACATCGGATACTTTTAGAGGACCCTTTGGTTTGCCAGGAGCCGCTGTGAAAGTACGAACGTGATATCGAATGTTAACAATAGGAAAGGACATGGAAATGGATGGGAACAGTATTCTAATTTTTCATTGCAGTTCCTAAGGCGATACTGTATTTCTCGAAATGACCAAATTTTAATTTTTTATTCTAGTTCCTAGCTGTAGTTCTCAAGGCGATAGTATAGTTCTCAAAGCAATAGTTTAGTGTCCGAGACGATACTGTAATTTCGAAGGCGATGCTACAGTTCGCAAAGCGATACTCTGGTTTCCAACATGATACCATAGTTCTCAAAATGATACTTCAGTTTCCGAAATATCGCTATATTTTTAAAGGCGATACTACAGTTCCCAAACCGATACTCCAATTTCTAATGCATACACTTTTCTATTTCAAGTGTCAAGTTTCTCGACTTACAGAGTATAGTGATCTCGACTTCAGCCTCGTCTTCACCGTGCGGGTTCACTGCTTTGATCTTCCAGACTCCAGTGTTCTTGCGCACGCAGTCGGTGATGTTCAGCTTCGTGTTATAGTCGATGTTAACGATCTCGATGTTTCCTTCCGTCTTCATCGGTAGGTTCGCGTGGTACCATGTGATCTCTGGTGGCGGTTCACCTTTTACGTCCACGTCGTATTTGATCGCTTTGCCGGCTCGGACCGTGATAGGCTTCAGATTTGTGCGATCGATTCTCGGTTTCACTGCGAACGAAGAACACGAAGTAAATATATTTAGAAAAGTGGAGAGGAAAGAGAAACTTCAATAGAAATCAAAATGTATGGAAAGCAAAGGTAAGGAAACTCACGAGATTTGTGTTTGCATATTTGCATCTTCGAGGCGTCCGACGGAGGAGACGGGCCAGCCTTGTTCACAGCGATTATTCGGAACTGATATTCGCCGCGTTCCTTCAGGTCAGCCACTTTAGCTTCGAGTTGGTTACCAGGTACCTCCATCGCTTTCTCCCAATCCGGCTTGTAACGATCCTTCTTCTCGATTATGTACTTCTCAATGGGCGCACCGCCATCGAAGTCCGGAGCTGTCCACTTCAGGCTGATAGATTCGTTGTCGTAATCGGTTATCTCTGGTGTTCCAGGTTTGTGCGGCTCATCTATAAATTAATGGACGATGGTTAGCCAGCTTTCGACCATTTTGTTCCAGGAAATAAATACTGGGAAATGAACGGTATATGCAGGATGAACGATGAAAAGTAGAATATCTGAACGGTTTTAAAATTTCCCTTACCGGATCTGAAAATTTTTCTTTGATTTTGATCATTCGAAGGTTATCGATATTTTTTGAATGGTACCAAGTATTGGTAACTTCTATATCATTGCAGCTAGATAAATGTGAAGCGACATTGAAAGTAAATTTTTTGAAGTTTTACGATTGACTTACCGAATGGATTCTTAGCAATGATCGGCCGTTCGCTTTCGAGAGGCTCGGAGTCGCCTTCATCGTTGACAGCAGTGACGCGGAACTTGTACTCGCTGCCAGGATTCAGTCCAGTCACTTCGAATTCCGTCAGCGGCGAATTTCCAGGGACCTTTCCCACTCGGACCCATTTTCCGGTCTTTGTGTCTAGTTTCTCGATCTCGTACTCTTTGATCGGCACGCCGCCGTCGTCTTCGGGTTTCTCCCATTTCACCTTGGCCGACGTGGCAGTGACGTCCGTCACTTCCAGTGGTCCCTTCGGAGCGTCTGGCTTTCCTGAATAATGTGAACGGAAATAATTAGCCGTTGATAGTTTGTACATATAGCCAAATCACTTAGTGAATCCTTATTAAATAATTTAATCCATCGCGGACGATGACTCTTTGAAATATACAGAACCTTCAGCAGATGAAGTTAAATTATATATGGATTGCTTGAACAATAGAAGAATTAGAAACTATGTCCTGATCTCTTGTTGTTTGAGTAATTAAATCATTTGTTTGCGACTTAGTATCCCAAATATGAAAATTTGATTTCCCCAAAATGTCAAGATTCGTCCGGACATGGTTAAATATATGTTTAAATGAATATCTGAGTAATTTAACTCAAATAATTTACTTAACAGTTTTCAATCAACATCACCGTATCATAAATTTAATTGACTATGGCTGCAAGAATTTTGTAAAAGAACAATGTATTATAATAATAGAAACGGCGTGTCTTACCGAGAACAGTGAGTTCGACAGTTTCCTCGTCCTTGCCGTTCACGTTCTCAGCGACAAGAGTGTACTTTCCGGTATCTTTGCGCATGGCGTTGACGATCGTGAAGTCTGTATGGTAATCGACATTTTCGATCTTGATGCGTTCAGTGTTGGTCAGAGGAATATTGTCTCGCCAGATCCATTTGACTTCTGGAGGTGGTTCACCGGTGATGTCCACGGACCACTTGTGCGTGCGACCAGCCTTGATGATTACTGATTTGAAGTTGGATCTGTCGATTCTCGGTTTTACTGGAACGCGATACAGTTATTTAGGAAAATTCAGTGCATAACAGAGTATATAGACAGCTATATAATAGAATGATTAAATTAACAATTAATTGATTATGCATTTTTTAATGCAATGTTAATTATACTGTGCAGTATATAGTACACGGAATACTCACGATTCCTGTGTTTACAGATATGGTTGTCCGTTGGCTCGCTAGCCTCGCCAGGGCCTGCTTTGTTATGCGCACGGACTCGGAATTGATAAACCATTTTCTCTTTCAGGCCTTCCACCTTTCCTTCCGGATTAGCGTCCGCGGTTTTCGTCACTTCGACCCAGTCCACCGAGAATTTATCTTTCATTTCTATGGTGTAGTGCGTGATCGGTCTGCCGCCATCGCTGTCCGGTTTCTTCCACTTCAAGGACACGCTTACGTTGTCGTAGTCGAATATTTCTGGTTTGCCGGGTTTGCCAGGCTCGTCTGGTGGCAGAATAATATGATACGATTAGAAACTATAGATTTTGAAAATCAGTTTCTGATAATTGTATATAAGAGAGTTCAAATTGAAATCTCAAATCTCAAATCTCAAATCTCAAATCTCAAATCTCAAATCTCAAATCCCAAATTTCAAATTAAATTAATATTCAATTAAAAAAATTAAACATTAGTAATTATAATGACGAAACAATAAATCATCTCGAAGATATAATCTAATTACTTCCTTTTAGACGAGGGATTAATTGTTGAAGCGTCGAGATAAATGTTATATATACCATAGGGGTTCCTGGCGGTGATCGCTTCCTCCACTTCCAATGGCTCGGATTCACCCTCTTTGTTCACAGCCTTCACGCGGAACTTGTACTTCTTCTTAGGCGTTAGGCCGCTAAAAGTGAACGTGTCTTCATTAGGGCCGACCTCTCCGGCAGGCACCCATCGTCCCGTGTCCATATCCATTTTCTCGAGAACGTAACCTGTAATGTCTGTGCCACCGTTGTCTGGTGGTTTTCCCCATTTCACTTTCACGTGATTCGCGCGTACTTCTTCTACCTTCAATGGTCCAGTTGGGCTGGCGGGTTTGTCTTGAAAGGTAATAAAATGATAATCAGTATAAAATAAACATAACAAAGTAAAAGAAAACAAACGAAAAAAGAAGTATTCATAGAAAAAAGCTACGTAAATAAATATACAATATATAACATAATATAAGAAAATGACAATTTAATAAAGAAACAAAGACGATTATTACAATAATAATTTTGACTATCAATTAATCACTTCTTTGACCATCTCAAAGAAGATTAGCAATTAATACATTCCAATTAGTATCAACTATAACTTAGCCATATTTTATTACTAATAAAAAAATCAGTGATTAATAAACGAATAATATTCTAAACAGGAAAATCACTTTCCAAATAGAAAAACGCTAACGTACCAAGAACAACCACGTCGGCAACACTTTCGCAGGTTCCCGAGCTGTTCGTTAGAACCAACTTGTATTTCCCTGAGTCCGGCCTGGTCGTCTTTCTGACGGTAAGCACGGTGTTCCTTTCATATTTATCAATTGTGATTCTTTCAGCAGAGTCTTGAACAAGTTCTTTCTGTCCAAGGAACCAGTGCACTTCCGGTTCCGGTTCGCCAGCATACTTGATGTCATACTTAATCACTTGTCCCTTCTTCACGATCAAATTCGTCAGACCGTCACCGACGATGTACGGCTTGACGAACCGGCATTTCGCTATGATCGGTTTCGTGGCGTCGGACGGTTCACCAGGACCAGCTTTGTTCACAGCTCTGATCCTGAACTCGTACTGCGTGCCCTCTTTGAGGCCATCGATCGTTGCTGCAGTCACGTCGCCTTCGATTTCTTTGCCTTTCACCCATTCTTTACCGAATTTCTCTTTGAACTCGATTATGTAGCCGGTAATCGGCGCGCCACCGTCGCTTTCTGGTTTCGTCCATTTTAGATCGGCGTGATCCTTGTCCCAGTCGGTGACATCCACGTCTTTGGGTTTGCCAGGTTCGTCTGTCGAGAACGACAAAAGTTTTGATTATTAACTGTGACATTATCTTGTAACAAGCCATTGTTGAAACTATAATATAGTAGAACATCGATTATCTAATTATTAAGCGATCAAGAATTCGAATAAACGTTCATCTTCGTACGAAGACAATTCGAAAATTCTGAGGGACAACAAAGAAATTTCTTGATAAATGGAACAAGCTATTCTCCTAATTACGAAGATGAAATCGATTTATAATTATCTGTTTAGTTGAAGTTTGTTTAATTGAATTCAATTTATCGTGAAATAAATGTCTAATTATTCGTTCGTACCCCATGGGTCCTTGGCGAGGACCGGTTTCGCGAACATCGCCGGTTCGCTGGAGCCAAGCTTGTTCACCGCTCTGATGCGGAACTTATACTCCTTCTTCGCGACCAGATCTTGAACCTTGTAGACGCACTTCTCGCCAGGCATCACTTCGCCGACGCTGTCCCATTGAGATTTTAAGCTGAGATCCAAACGTTCGATAACGTACTTCGTAATCGGCGATCCACCATCGTCCTTCGATGGTTTGAAGGACACCACGCAGGAATTCTGGAAGATCTCGTTCACGTCGACGTCCGTGGGCGGTTGTGGCACGTCTGGACGAAAGTTGGTTAGTCGATATTTTGTGGGAACCGAATTAATGAATATTTGATAAAAATGTGAGATCGGGTCTCCTCAATTTTATAGTTGTTCTACAAAGGAAATAGGCACCTTGCATGTTAATGAACACATCCTTGACTTCCTCTCCCTGATTATTACCAATCTTCAGTTGGTATGTGCCAGTCTGGTCGCGAGACGGTTTCTTGATCTTGAAAGTGATCTTGTCTTCACCGACGACCACCTCGACTTCCTTCAGAGGCAGAGGTTTGCCATCTTTCATCAGTTTAGCTTCTACCTGGCTCTGTTTCGTACCTTCGACTGTAGAGATTGATAATGTTGAAATGTTATTCATAACATGAGAGAATAAATGGAACGTTAAATGCAATGAGAGTATAGAATTGTTTACAGATCGTTTTTAATATTATAAGTCGTTGTTCTTAAACGTGTAATCAGTAATTCTGTCTAGAGAATTAATTCAGATAAGTAGTGCAACGGTTACTCTGATCAGACTTTGGTACTTTCATTATTTTACAGTACGAACATGAACATAATAATGAATACTTCAATATTAAATATTTCAGAAAAGTATATTAACAATTCTATTGCTCTAATTCTTTGCGCGCTGCTTCCTATCTTCAAAATCATTTTCGTACGCTTACGCCATGATTGCATCCAACATTTCATGTTCATTAAAACGAGAATTCAACTCACTCTTGAAAGGAACAATGAACACGATCGGAGCGTTGCAAGGACCTTCAACTTTGTCGGGCACCTCGGCAATCGGTTTGCTCTCACCCTTCTTCACCGTGAGCTTGCAGCTGCTGCTCAGCTGCCCGCTCTCGCAGGTGATTTCACCGTCGTCGGTCATCTCCACACTGTTGAAGACCAACTGATGTTTACCACCACCGAGATTCTTGATTTCGACCCTGTCGTTGGTCTTGATAGGTTCGCCATTGAACTTCCATTCGGCGGGTGCGGTTTGATCTTGAAGTTCCACATCGAGCACCAATTTTTCTCTTTCCACGGCAACGGTGTCTTTCAGTTTCTTGTTGAAACGGTTCGCGTCTAGAAAATTCAATGCCGTTAATTAATATTTGAATATTAATGTGGATGTTTATTCAAAAATTTATTGTACGGCGATATTTATTTAAATTTCAATAGTAACGTAAATTTAAATAATCACCGTGACGCAATCGTCAGTTGAACTAACTAATTTTAATAATTAAATAATTCCATTCAGTTGACTCACAGTTTACTACAATCTCAGCCTCGGTCTTGTCGGCGTTGCTCACGCAGGAGTAGAGGCCAGCGTCTGTGACTTTCACGTCCTTGATTATGAGCTTCCTCTTCCTACCTTCTTCTTTGATTTGTACTCTGCAAAGTAATAAATGTATTTGTTACATCCGTCGGATTATATTATTCACAACATTTTGTCTTACTTTCTAATTTATTGTTTGAAAAATAATGAAGTCTAAGTAGTAGAAACTATTACTACTAGAAATAATGAAACCTAATAATTAAATTATATTAAAGAAAGTTATTATTTCCTATAACAACGAGTACATAAAAAATAGAACATGTAAAGAAGTTTAAGCTGTTACCTCTTGTCAGCAACGATCTCTTGATCACCCTTGAACCATTTCACTTCGCCACCAGCATCGTCCAACTCGCAGAGCAGGGTCAACGTCTCTTTCTCTACGAGCTGTTGGTGTTTCAGTACTTTGACGAACTTGTATGGGTATTCTGTATAAACGAAAAATCAAATTTTTAGAAAGTGTTATTCAAAAGTTGTGTCGAGCACAGTCCACATACTCGAAGAAGGAAAATAACGTACCAACTACAGTCAGGACCGTTTCACTCTTGTCGGTCTGTTTGTTGATTTTACAGATGTACTCGCCGCTATCTTCGAGCGTCGCACTTTTTATGGTTAATCGGCAGACACCGCTCATATCTTTTGATATACTGTACAAGTCGCCATCCTGAAGGAAACAGTTGATCATTTATTTAGTTATCGGTTATATAATTCATTGGTTCCTACTGAAGTGTTAATTAAGCGATTTGTCTGGTATAAGTGTAAGTTTATTTGTGTGTAATTGACGGTTTATTTATAATCGATTCATGCAATATTTAAGTGCAAAGTGGAAAACGAAATATTGCTTGGATAATTACTTCTAGCTTCGTCTTTCCTTTGTACCACGAAACTTGAGCAAGATTCGAGCTGACGGTACATTCCATGAACACTTCGTGTTTTGTGAAGCCACTCGTCTTCTTTGCGAGTGGTTTGGTGAACGTGTAGGTCGGATCCGGTTCTAAAAATGCGAAAGTATTGATCGTTAGATAGATCGTCGTAATTTGATATTCAACATGGTAACGTCCACAGGGTACTAATAGTTCGGGCATTTTCAGCAAAGAATACACAGATGATAAATCGTACTAACCCTCGACGTTGAGGAAGCCTGTGCTCGAAACGCCTGAAATTTCGATAGTGTATTTGCCGGTGTCTTCGACCTTCGGGTTCAAGATGATCAGCTGGTAGCAATCCTCTTCGTTCTTGAATTTGTACTTCGACGAAGGGAATAGTTCCTGAACAAGAAGATGACGATGATTCGATGATCATTGAAATTTGAAATTCGAAATTTAAAATATGAAACGTTAACTCGGTATTGAATTTGGATTTCCACTCACGTCTTTTCGGAAGAACCATTTCGGTTTGCAGTTCGGTTTCGAGAAATTCGCCTCGAAGACAACCTTCTTGTCTTTGCCCTCCTTGGCGTATTGATCGACCAGTGGTTTCAGGAAGCTTTCTTGTTTCTGCGAATAAGAAACTCCCGTTAATCAACGCATCTACCGCGAACAGATTCACCAGTAACATCCAGCAGTCACCGTCAGCAACGACAGCGTCGCTATGCGTTCAAGGAAGAAGAAGAGTTAGAAGATATTTGAAAAAAAAACCGTAGGCGACCGTGGTCAAAAGAATCAGCTTCGAAGATTCTCGCCGCAGCGAGGATGGGGTAAAAAAAAAGGTCT